ACTAGAATCTACAGTGGTTTATTCAATAAATTTATGCTCCATTCATTGGCAAACTTTGGTCCAAAGAAGCAAGCTTTTAATTACCGTCACTCTTGAATTTATATTTTAATAGCGTATTATTTCTCTTATACTGTATATTTTGTACATAGCAGAGCTTATTTAATGAATTGCCGTATTTGAACGAATTAAAATTAATACTTCCACAAATTTTCATTAGGATTAATAAATAATATCAGCTCACTTCATGTGTATGTTTTATTGATAGAATTTTTCTTCGAACTATTTTCTTATTTTCCTTAAAAATGGGATATCTCACTGAAGATTATTTAATTTAACTACGCCACCCGTTTTTTTCGTACTTCTTGTTTTGCATTATTGTATCGTTCTCAGGTGACACTTATACTATCGAGACATCTAACTGGCATATTCTCTGCCGCTGAGCGTCGAACCTTTTCTTCTCCCTTGTCTTTCAGCATCGTAGCAACGTGAATTGCCAGCGACGTTTTTCCAGCTAGAAAACGCGAGTTGCGTAACGTTAAGCAGTAAGAGCTAGTCGAATTGGACAAAGTCGGTCTCGGGGGACGATTTTGCGAGCGTGTTTCTCTCTCGTACCCTTCGATTCCGACCCATCTTCGACAGAACTCCTGTACGCACCCTTTCGTATCCCTTCAAAGAACGAACGTCTTTCCTTGATATCGTCTTTGATCGTTCTTCTGTGTATGTATGGACATACATATACGGCGCACATGGGCTTTTAAGTAAAAACCATGAGGAAATAAAAGCTCCTACGACGACGTGGCATGTAAAGTGTTCCTAGCATTTTCCAATTCACCCGACGAATTATTCAATGACACATTGTCGAATGTGTCCACGAGGCAATTTTATCGGGACGAGACTTTTACATTTTTGATGCATCAATTTGTCGGTTGTTACCGATAGGATTAATAATAGTGGCTGTCACTCATTATTTCTTGTAGCTTTTTAAAATAGTAGGGGAGTCGCTTTTTTCACTTAAGTGCATTCACTATGTTGATCTAGCAGTGTACACTAATGTACAACTACCAAAAACGATTTCTGACCCATTTGGCATGCACGCTTGCAAAAATTAAATTTTCATTAAGCAGTATAAGTGCTTTTAATATTTCTCATTTTCTCAACATTAACAGTTTGATAATTAAATATCCTGAATTTTTAACTAACATTTCGAGTTCTGATAAATACTGTGTCAATGGTATAAAAGAGAATGGAATAATTTTGTAACATTATTTTAACTCGATTGCAATGCAAATGAATGATAACTTGAATTAAAATCATAGTTAGAAGCTGCTACCTTGCAATTTATCTCGGAGTCTGTGAATTTTTATGAAACCTTTAGTTTTGGACGACATGGAGAAAAATTCCTATATTCCAAGTTTCATTGTACAGATTTTCATGAAACACGACTGAAATTAAAATTTGAGGTCTAACAATAAGAAACATGGACAGGCCTTTCGAGAAGTTATAAGCATTATTATACTAAGCATAATGAATATATGGTCCACTCTTTCCATCGAGGAAAATTTAATTTTTGCATGTGTGCATGTCAAGTAAGTCGGAGTATTGAGTAGTTGTATTTGCATTATTGTATCGTTCTCAGGTGACACTTATACTATCGAGACATCTAACTGGCATATTCTCTGCCGCTGAGCGTCGAACCTTTTCTTCTCCCTTGTCTTTCAGCATCGTAGCAACGTGAATTGCCAGCGACGTTTTTCCAGCTAGAAAACGCGAGTTGCGTAACGTTAAGCAGTAAGAGCTAGTCGAATTGGACAAAGTCGGTCTCGGGGGACGATTTTGCGAGCGTGTTTCTCTCTCGTACCCTTCGATTCCGACCCATCTTCGACAGAACTCCTGTACGCACCCTTTCGTATCCCTTCAAAGAACGAACGTCTTTCCTTGATATCGTCTTTGATCGTTCTTCTGTGTATGTATGGACATACATATACGGCGCACATGGGCTTTTAAGTAAAAACCATGAGGAAATAAAAGCTCCTACGACGACGTGGCATGTAAAGTGTTCCTAGCATTTTCCAATTCACCCGACGAATTATTCAATGACACATTGTCGAATGTGTCCACGAGGCAATTTTATCGGGACGAGACTTTTACATTTTTGATGCATCAATTTGTCGGTTGTTACCGATAGGATTAATAATAGTGGCTGTCACTCATTATTTCTTGTAGCTTTTTAAAATAGTAGGGGAGTCGCTTTTTTCACTTAAGTGCATTCACTATGTTGATCTAGCAGTGTACACTAATGTACAACTACCAAAAACGATTTCTGACCCATTTGGCATGCACGCTTGCAAAAATTAAATTTTCATTAAGCAGTATAAGTGCTTTTAATATTTCTCATTTTCTCAACATTAACAGTTTGATAATTAAATATCCTGAATTTTTAACTAACATTTCGAGTTCTGATGAATACTGTGTCAATGGTATAAAAGAGAATGGAATAATTTTGTAACATTATTTTAACTCGATTGCAATGCAAATGAATGATAACTTGAATTAAAATCATAGTTAGAAGCTGCTACCTTGCAATTTATCTCGGAGTCTGTGAATTTTTATGAAACCTTTAGTTTTGGACGACATGGAGAAAAATTCCTATATTCCAAGTTTCATTGTACAGATTTTCATGAAACACGACTGAAATTAAAATTTGAGGTCTAACAATAAGAAACATGGACAGGCCTTTCGAGAAGTTATAAGCATTATTATACTAAGCATAATGAATATATGGTCCACTCTTTCCATCGAGGAAAATTTAATTTTTGCATGTGTGCATGTCAAGTAAGTCGGAGTATTGAGTAGTTGTACTATAAGAATTCACTTATTAGCACACAGACTAGCAGAATGACATTTTTATTTCGGTTAGCTTATGTGCTCTTTAATTCTAAAGCGACGGTGAACTTTAATTATGAAATTTTTTAGTTAATAGCAACAGCAGTGTTTAGGTTGCACCCATTAGATGCTTGCGGTAATATCGCGACATTACATAATAGCTGTAGACGTACGACTAGGGATTACGTATCCTTTTTCGGGGAAAATGTGCGCCGGAGTTATAACGAGGAGTCGTTACGGTTACTCGCCCGTCAGCAAAAGCTCCCCGTTCTCCTTTTCGTTTTTATTAATATTTCATTGGTCACGTTGAATTGTCCATTAGTCTCTCGCATCGCTGACCATTCCAACTGAATAACGGTTCAAAGGTATACATTGTCAGCTAAAAGTTTACTATATTTTTCTGTCGGATCTATATGTATAAGATCTATGAATTGTTAACTTTAATGGATTTGAAATTATATACAGCTCCTAAGAAAAATAGAAGATTCTTCTTTCTGAACTGAAAGGTTTTTTTTTTGTAATATAAAATTAAGTTTCGTTTTCTGAATCGTTTCATTATTTGGTACGTTCAGTGGCTGCAAACTTTTGGGTGACAATGTACATTTGTAGAGAGGGATCAAACTCTGGCTACGATGCAGTGCAACATACAGCCAATCACGAGCGTAGGAATTAGGGGTTCGACGTACGCTCAGCTAGGTACTTTTAATTCGGCGAACTAATGAACAACGTCAACCTCGTCCTATATCGTCGACGAGTGTTGCATACAGATAACTGTATAACTATAGGAAAAATTTGTCGGACTGTCAACGGTATAACGTTGTTACTTGGCCACTGCGCTGGTTAACTTGTCGTGAAAAAAGTCGACGCGAGTTTTCCCCTTTTATAGTCCCCACAAGCTATCGTCGGTCGGATACTGTTATTTTTTCCGCAATATTATTCAATAAAACAAGCTTATTTCGTAATGAAAAACAACCTTTACCAAAGAGAATTAACAAAATCCATGATTCAATTATGAGTACAATTCTATGGTTTCCTAAAACGACAAGCAATCGAAGATAATGCTAAATTAAAGAAATGAATTTTATGTTTGAGCTTTCGTTTTCGAATCAAGTTCAAAAAGCCTTAGAAGCAATTTCTTCTTTTTTCATTCTCGTATGATACAGTCACTCCCTAGTAACTTATACGTCCAGCATGCTGCGACAGCCTGTACATAATTACAGACAGCAATTATATTAATTGTGTAATACGATGAGTATCCTGCTAAATAAATACGGGACTCTTGATAATGGGAAATATGAGAAGAGTACTTGTTTCTTTACAGCGCCATCCGTGATTAATTTCATTTCACCTGTTTATTTATAATGGTTGAGGATATCGATGGTTTTTGATTATGTGGATATCCGCGAGAATTCCACACAATCCTCGACATGAGTAGTGAGATATTTGATACTTTTTCCGACACGGAGGAATAATTTGAACACGGCTTGATTGCACCGGATAATCTTTTTTTGTCGAGAGATGAAAACTCCAGTGGAAATCATTCGCGCTACGTTGGAAACTTTTATTAAATAAACACGGGGTTTTGATGCTCCTGGGGGGAGGCCATCTTTTCACGTACATCTACAAAACTTGGTATATAACTGTAGTATACATGTATACACGTAACGGGCAGCGTAACGAGGTGATCGTTAGCCACACGTTTATTACGTTCGCTCAGCGCCCTCGCACAAATAAAGCGTGTTAAAACCAGTGTGGTTTCAACGTTTTCGACTCAAATTCGGGTCAAGACGTAATGAACGAATAATGCCACGAAATGAGTTAAGAAGCAGTGCGATAATTTACCGTAGAAAATTACGAGGCGTTTATCTCTTCCTAACAGCGGTTTCAAATAGCATTCCATCTTTTTCATTTTGCAAACAATTCAATTTATTCACTGATCTATTAACGTGAGGATTAGGACGATATTGGATATGGCGAATAAGAAAAGATAATGTTTTACTTATATATATAGTAACATTTCGGTCTTCTGTTTTAATCAAACACCGCTCTAAAATAAAAACAATCCCTCTAAATCTTTAGAATCAAATAACGAACTTTCGTTTCTTCTTTTCTTGCAGATTGGCGGCGCTGTAGTATCGTCGACGAGATACCAACAACGGCGTCGACGAGAACGTCGTCGTCAGCGTGATCGTGTCGCGGGGGTGGTGGGGTTGAAAATCGGCGCTTGCTCGGTGCGTTTCTCCTCTCTCCGTGCCTCTTTTCCTCTCACTCCTCTCTCCTTCTCGCCGGCCTCCCCGCATGAGAGTTTTCCTTTTTCCATCCACTGCCCCCTTGTTCTGTCCGCCTCCGGGTGGCTCTTGCTCCAATTCACGTGCGTAAGGGGTGCGTACGTGTGCGTGCGTCGGTCGGCGCGTAAAGGCACGCACACGCTGTCTCGGAGCGAACGGCGCCGTACACGGCTGCGCGAACTGCTCACTAGCACAACTGCCGACCGGTTTCGACACGGAGTGGGGCGCTCTTTGCGCGCTGGTGGGGGCGTGTGTCACCTGTCTTCGCGCTGCGCGGTGTCAGTATGACGGCGACCGTCGAAGGTTGCGAATCGTTTCGTTGTTCGTAATTGTGTTGCCTCGACGTTCCATCGAGACAGGCGCGCACACACATACAGGCGCGCGCGTACGTACGGTCCCGCGTGTACTGTGTATGCCTATACGTGCGTGTCGGATTCGTGACTCATCTTGTTTGACCTGTACACACACCTCTTTCTCTCTCTCTCTCTCTCTCTTTCTCTCTCCCACTTGTATAAGAATTCCGATTTCTTCATCCCCTCGCGATCTGTCCGACGGATTTTTCGGATATCCAGAGAGTAGGTGCGTGCGGGCACACACTGCGCGTTCGAATACCCGTGAATGTGCGCGAACGGGAAGCCGGCGGTCGTCCGTGAGGAAACATGCGTGAGCAGAGCCGGTGGACAACGGATGCGACAGCGACGAGGAACACGCTACACGTGACTGCGGCACCTACGCACGTTCTGCTGCTGCAGTGAGCGGAGAGAAAGGGAGGGAAAAGAGAGTGTTAGAAACACGTCCTTTCTCGTTCCGCCGTTGTCGCGTCGGAGCTTGTGTCGCTTAACGCGAAGTAGAAGAAGAATAGAGTGCCGGTGGTTGGTGCGGTATAATAATAATAATAGTAATAATAATAATAATAGTACACGTGAGAGTTGTCCGGGAGTTTGATTCTCGTGAGCGCGTGAATCCCACCGGAAGGAGAACAACCCCTGCACGAATCCTGGCACTATTCCGGAGTCGTTGGAACCACCGGAGAGAAGATGAGGCGCACCGTTCTTGGAACGAGGATGCACCCTGTGTTATCCTGCTGGTGCGTTGTCGCCACAGTCACCTTTGTCCTCGCTGCATGGCAGGAGAACATCAGGCCGAAGATGTACGTCGAGCTAGGTGAGTGTAACCAGTCGCTTCAATAATATTGTTCAGATACATGCGTATATGGGGTGTTTTTCATCTGTTACATTTTGGTTTGTTGTAACTCGGGTTACGTTTTGTTGATATGCCACGTATTTGTTAGATTGTTTGTCACAAGTATAGGTTTGCCACAATGGTTGATTTTTTAGCCGAATGATAAACACGACGAAAAATGATGCGTCTTAAAGCGGAGAAAAATCGACTAGTTAGACCACTCGTTTTTCCCCGTAGACTGTTTAGCCTGTGAATCTTTACTCTAAACTTATCGATCGGACCATTGGGTACACATCCGCGAGTAACAAAAACGGCGTTCTTCCGATTACGCTTGAACGAGAATTAAAATGTTCGCGAGATCCGCTCCCCATACCGGTTGTTTTACGCTAGAGAGGATAATATACCTCTTTCTCTCTCTTTCGCGCGCGTTTGCTCTCGAAATAGAATAGGTAGTCGAGCCGCGGATAGACGAGTAGCCCAACGACGATGCGGAACGGAAGTTGCACCGGGTGCAGGGTCATGGACCTTCCCCCACCGTTCGGTATTGTTTCACCCCACAGTTAAAAGGGGATGCTATGTGTACAGCTCTCGGTGACTGTAGGTAAACTCTAATCAGTGACATAACAGTACTTTCTAAGTGGATACCGAGAAAAGAATAGGAAAGTATTGACCGCCGCGCCGCGCTAGTGTTCCGTTTAAATGATTAAAGCTCGCGATATAAACGGGAATTCCTGGAACAACTACATAACTCGTCCGTCCGTGATTCGCCAACCTATCGATTCCGCGCTCCTCCGAGATAAGCTATCGACTTCATTCGTTTGCTTCCTGTCGACAAAGAGGGAATAAATAAGAGAGAAATAATTGCCACAGCGTAGCAGATTAAATGAGTATAACCAATAATTGATTGATATCTTCGACGATAATGTTAACCGATCTTCGCGTCAGCGGCGATGCCACGAGATGAAAGAAGCGAACGCGGGAGGGTACAAAGTGTCCCACACGTGGGGCCACTCGACCTTAACGGCTCTTAGTTCTCCGGTTTATAGTCGGGTTTCGTGACCGACGTACAGCATCCATCATTCTTTCCGCAATATTTTCGACGAAACGAAATAGGTTGCTCTAAAGCAAGTTAAGTTCTTGCGATGTGTAGTTGTACTACTCTACTATTTTAGGGATGTAGAATTTATTCACGATGTTACAGTAATTGAACGTGGGATGAACTCATTAATTATATGGGAGTTCATAGATTATTTGTCATGCGAAAAATAAAATCAATCATTGATCAATCAATTATTCGATCAAGAATTTAACTGCTTTTTGTGCGATTCTGAAATTTTCGTGAAATTTTAAGTCAGTTCAATAGTTATCGTTTTTTATTCAATACTAGAATATGGGAGTTAAATTATGATAACTTCCTTTTGGTTGGCTATGAACTTCAGCACCTACGGTCTTGTTCGTAGATTGTTCGTGGAGAGCTACTGTAAACGTCGCGTCGTCGGGACGCCAGACATTATAATAAAAACTTTCACAGCATCGCTGGCTAGGAAGATAATCGAGCAACAGACACGTGTCATCGTACGCAGTTTTTTCTTTCTTTTTGGATCTTCGAACCATGCAGACCGTATTAGACACTCTTTTTCTTCTTTTCTCTCTTCCTGTCGATATCCCAGCAATGTAGTCTTGGCATTGACTGGAGCGCAAAGCGCTTGGAAAGCTCGTGTTTATCGAATGTTAACGAGACGGACGTTTATTTTTTTTTTTTATGTACTCGTCTAGCGTAGCGACATTAGAGGGTACAAAAATGAATCGAGAAATTCTCGACGGCCAGAGAGGAAAGTTAACGTCGGACATAAAAAAGAATAACGAACAAGAGGCACCACTTGCGAAAGTAACTTTTTAAGAGTATCCTCGACTACGAGCGGAATAAATTTTCCAACGCGATATGTCGGTCAGTGGTACTTATGCTTCATAATGTAGTTGCCGCGGTACGGTCGTGCTCCTAAATGCGATGGAACGTCTATTATTCGAGATAATGGGAAGATAAATCGACCAGACTGTCAGTAAAGTCAATTGATCTTCATTTATATACGTATCTTCTTATCATGCTCGAATGAACAGAGTTTAGTAATTGATTTTAGAGAATCGAAGTATATTGTTTATAACTTTCCGATGGACGAGTTATTTAATGTTTCCGCACTTGTGTTTCGAGCAAACATACATCCGTGCGTTTCTTTAATCGATCTCTAAATACTCTACTGTAGCTGAAAATACATTTGTCGTATTGTTCGCTAGCAGAGATAGGAGCTCGTATCGTTACGTAAGCTCATTAGGCCGTTATGAATTTCGTTCGCATATTATTTTCCGATAGCCACACTCGTGCCACAGTGTAACGGGGGATGGCCGCGGCAGGAATTGAAATTACTCGAAGCACGTGTTATTAATACGCCACTGGCGTTGCGGGGAAACAGCACTGTTTTGCTCACTGAGCTAGAATTTCTGCTAATTCTACAACGGGGAAAACCACGCCGCAGAACCAAAATTGTAATCACCGGGAAATGCATATTGCCGTTGTGGAAGGGAGGCATCGCAAGGGACTCGGGGATCGCTGACGCGGCCGTTTTCCAACGCTGTTTATTGCGATTTCACGGGCCCCGGCGCTAATGTTCATTTTTACAACAGCTCGATTTCAAAGAGATATGGTAACGTCGTTAGCCAATTACCTGCCAATTAAATCTACTTTACGTCTCTCTTCCGTTCCCGTTCGCGAACGAATTCCTCGGGAATTTTCAGTTTGTTCGGAATTTTCATCTTACGGATCGTTGACCTACGGGAAACGCGAGAAAATCATCGATGATCGGTGATATTTCAACGTTCGCGGGGAAAACGAACCGCGTCGCGAATCGTCGATATCGCCGAATGTCGTTGACGATCGTTCACGGTTTGAAAAACGTAAAATGTCCGCGCGCTTTCCAAACGTCGTAAATCAAGTCACGAGTCTGACGACGCGCGCTGGGAATCGGAGTGACGTTTAAAAATCGAAATGGACCGGATCCCAAACACGTAATAAATCTATCGGCCGGTCGATCGTTCGTGATCTTATTGTTAAATGAGAAAATTCGGTCAAATTTAATGTATAATTAAAACTAATTAAAATGCATAGAGATGTCCTATTTATTCTTATAATTCCATCATGAGATATCAAACAATATTGATCTAATTTAAAAGCTCAAAGATTGCATTAAGCTGTGACGAAGATAGATTCGTTTGAGGGGATAATGATTCTCGCATAGACGAGCGTTCGATTGGTCCTGTAATACGTGTTTATACGATTATGAGAATACTTTATTAAAAGACACCGCGAATCTGGATGCGGTTGATGATAGCGCGCCAGTTACGAGTTCATTACTACATCCCGGTCGAATGCGAACACCAGGATCGGGATATGAACTATAGCAGGCAGTTAATCCATATTACGGTAACTTTATCTGGCAGCCAGGAATACCGCAACGGACCAATCACAGCGCGGACCCACCAGCCGATGAGGATACATTATGATTAGTTTCAGCATACCGTATACGCGACCCGCGCACGTACAACTCGACCTCGAGTACTCTCTAACCACCGACTACAATTACTAGCAATCGTGTCAATTAACTTCGCGTTTGAGAATCGTAATACATGATTCCGTTTTCGCAATTTCAAAGCGCGTCATGCAGAAACACCGCGAAGACAGTAAGGAATTATTCTGTGAACAAATACGTTTTTTTAAGAAACTTGAATCAAATCAATTCTCATTTCAGTAAGTGTAAAAGGCTGTATTGTATTTGCTTGCATTCTGTTCAGCTGATGAATAATGCGATACAGTTTTCAGGTAACAAACGAATATTTAAGCGCTCCACATAATTTGTGTATCAGGATTTTACATTATACGAGAGCGTATAAGAATTACTAACGACACGGTGATCGTGATCGATGTCTAGTCACGTAATACGAGAACGGAAATCCATATGCTTTCGTATTAATGCCAGACAATTGACGAGATGTACGAGCCTGGAAGTGATTGATTCGATAGCGAGACGCGCCGCGCCGGAGGTAGGCGCCCTTTTTAAGATTTCTCTTTGAGGATCGGTCGCGTGTACATACCACCCCCGCATTTTTTGTGAACCTCGAGTGTGTACTCGACGATAGAATAAGTAGCATACTGGCATTGCCGAGGGGTTCATAAATCTTTTGTCGAGAAGATCCCCCTTGGTACGCTCAGGCCGGGGGAAAAAGCAAAAGGTCAAAAGCAGCGGCTGCTGCGAGCGGTTTCTTCGTTCGAGCACAAGTAAAAGTGTCCTCTTATCGCGGATGTTGACTTGGCCTCGCGCTTGTTTCCAGGGGGATGAGGGAAACCCCGTTGTAAATACGATTGACTTCGCGAAACTCGGATGGAATTCCTCTCGCATCATTTCTGACGATTTCAGCTCAGTAATACGTACTTCACTCCCTTTTCCCGCCTTCCAGCGACGGAGAGACGATTAGTTGGCGATTTTATTATCGACTCGAAACTTGCCGGGCGGATTCTTTAATATCGAGTCCCGCGCCGCGGTTGAGGAAGTTGCTCCCGATTCTATATCGACTTCTCTCATAACGTCCGACCGCCACTTCAAAAGCGAACCCGACGCAGCGGATAGTTGCGATGCATTAATATCATTTCTCCTTCCTCCCGTTCGCTAGGCACTTTCGAACGCGTATTTTTCATTCTATTACCGCGACGGAAATTGGTTTTATTTGCGCCGCGATAATTAGATCGTCGCAGCCGTCGATTCGTCCCTACTTATTCGCGTGTCCTTAACCCAGAAATTATAAAGTATCGCTGTCTGGTAAGGGATCGTCGATAACGAGGCGTGGCTGGGAAAAAGGGAACGAGGAAGAGGTTAACGAGACTCTTTTTCCAGCTTCGGGTCATCGCAGCTCGATAAAGTTATAAAGTGCACCGT